TGAAACAACATCCTTATCTCCTTGATCCTCCTTTTCTTTGCCTTATTGTTCTTGATAGAGATTGTCACCTACCAAATCATCATCAAACATCAGAACCTCATCAAAGATGGGATCACTATATAAGGCATGATCACTATCTCCATCAAAAGATTCCTTGCTAAAGATTGGATCACCACTAAATCTATGATTGCCTAATTCTTTCTCAACACCCAAATTTTCATCCAGATACATGTCAAAGACTGGTGGTGAGTCCAAGTCCATAAGATGTTGATCTTGAGAACCATTTGATGATAACAAAGTTTCTCCACGGCTTCTCCTGAATAGACTTCTACAAAAGTATGAGATCTTATCCTTAAGACGAGTTTTCCATCTTCTAGTATCCCTATCTATTCAACTACCTCTCTCCTTAGGGCTTGATCATGGAAGAGATTTACACATTCTTCATCTGCCTTGATCACATACTCCTATGACGGGGCTTCCATCTGCACTAAATGTAGAGCGAGGGTTTCGACGAATCTCCTCTGATTTGCAATCACTTCTTGTGAACTAGTATCAACCATTTCTATAGTTTTTCATTTTCCTTGTTTTTCTCTTCGTGGAGGTATGGTTGTTGATCTAGGGCACAAAAATTGCCACCACAGTACCATGCTATAATAACTTGCTACAATACCTTGTACAATGTTGTGCTACAATGGCTTGTACAATCATCGTGCTTTGGTACCAACCTAGCACTGACCTAGTAGCGTAAGCTAAGATTTTTGCAAAGAAGATGACAGGGAAGTTTTAAAATTAGAGAAAGATGCAAAAAACCAAATATAAAAGGAGTATTTGTTGATCTAGGGTGAGTAAACGTTGTCACATATTATGCTTGAGTATATCCCTTGTATAGAAAAATCCGAAAAAATACTTAATCCTAGCCATCCATCTAATCTAATCATGACTCTTTATTATAAAAGACTTTAAGCAAATAAAAATACATAAAAGACGTTAGAAATTACTACTTATACCCCTAAGTGAACAAAAAAGACTGAAGAAATAAATAAAAGACATAAGAAATGAGACTCAATGGATAATTTTAACTTTGAGAATTCCTCATGTAAATTTTAAGTTTATTTCTCTTGTCTAAATACACAAGAGCAGTATTCTGGGCTGCATCACTTGGGAGGTGTGTACAACCTCTCACAGAGAGATAGAGAGGAGAAGAGAGACTGAGAAAAAATATGGAGAGGGAGGGAGGTTAAAAACAAGTGGTTAGAATGAGGAACTTTACCTTCCTTTTGTGCTTTCAAGGGGTCTAAGTATGCCTATCTGAATTAGCTTTCCTCTTGGCCATAAGGGTCCTATGTAATTTTTAAGATGAGAAAGAAGCAAAATCTGAGTCATCCATCCTACAAATCAGCCATCATGATTTAAAGAGGAATAGATGAACTTTACCCCTGTATTTTTTACTCACATCCACTTCTAGTCAACCTATGATAAGACTGCCAAATCTCATATTCAATCTTGACTAGAAAGTCCTTTTATCTTAGAAAAAAAATAATACACGATTTCAAAGTTAAATAGATTAGGTTAAAGTCATTTGAAAGAATATTTTCTAGACAAAATATTCCTACTCCCACAAAATGTGTTCACAAAATCTTTCCCATATATTTTCTCTAATAAACTATGTGTTTATTAAAAGATTAGTAAACAGAACTTAATCCTCAACAGTTAAAGAAAAGACATATGCTTCCTCTCTATGTTGGGATGTATAGCCACATGGACCCCACAATCCACACCCACGTGGCGCCTTCAACGTGTATGGCTGGGCCCTTCCCTGACATGGGTCTCACAGTGGCCTTGAAATGCTGGCATTTGCAACATTGCCATATTTAGGTTTTTAATTGATAAAAATGATTTTAAATCTAAAAAACACAACAATATTTTTTAAGATGAAGAAAAATTTCAAGAAGCGGGTTGATCTTAATAGGTCAAGAAAAGTACTATCAGATTACGCCATTCGACCAAGTTACTAAGATCCTCAACTTCCTACTCAAACAACCCAATGAGATCCATGACCCACAGTCTCAAGCATAAGCTAAGAATGGCTCGTCAAAACTAGCTAATAAATAGTGAAACTATAGTTCCAGAATGTGATAACAGGTTATCCCTCTTAATAGCAAGCCACATGCACATATCATTTATAAATACACCGTTAGAAACTTTAGATATGAAGTCCTAAGGGCTATACTAACCCTAGTGGATCATAGTGAACCTAGACCCACTAGAATTGTACAAAACCAGTTAAAACCTAGTCCAAGTCATAGTAAACTCCAAGAGCTTTCCAATGTCCAAAAATCATCAAAATCCGAGACACCGTTGAAAAGTTAGGGCTTAGGGAAAATTGTTCAGCCAAAAATGACCAAACAATCCCCTAGGGGTGAGCCTCCACAGGTCGTGCCACCATGCCTTGCCCAACACATTGGCCCTTGAGGCAGCATCCTTCTTTTAGGAACCTTAGCACAAAGTTTATAAGTGGGTTATTGGAAAAGATGAGCCTAAAAATGAACAAAATACCCCTTTCCCAATTAGATTGGAAGCTTAAATATTAGTCTTAAAAATATCCATCTTACCCCAAGGCCAAACCTATAAAAGTCCCTCAAAAATCTCTATAAAATACCTGAAAAGTCTCTGAAAATCATTAGAAATCCAAAAAATTTAGAAAATAGCTAGAATTGCCTAGAAAATCATCGAAAATAGAAAATAGACTAAAAACTCCTAGAAAATTATAAAAATTCTAGAAAATTAGAAAAATCCCAAAAGAACCCAAAAAATTCTAAAATAATCATAGAAAAATCTAGGATGCCCCAAAAAACCTAAAAAACCTTGGGAACCATCTTCTTTTCATAGAAATCTTGACGGAAACTATAGATCTAGGACCCTAAAGCCTCTGAAAGCCTTAGAACCCAAAATGAAGGCATTCTAATCCAATTCCAGCGACAAAGAGTATTCAATAAAAGGAGATGGTGGCGAATAGTGGCCTAATCCAAGCTTGAAACTTTAAGTTTCAATTTTCCTGAGGTAAGTATTTTCTTCTTTGCTTATTTAATTAGTCATTTATTTGATTTTTGGTTTATTTTCATATTCTAGAAAATTTAGTTAGAATTTTTAAGCTTCATAAGGTCTAGAAGGTGGAATCTATTGCTAGCACTGGCAGTAGATCTATAAAGGGACTAGATATGCAAGAAATATTAGATCTATAAATTAGGCAACCCCCACGACTCTAATGATCTGCAAACTTTAACTCATTTTGCATCAATTTGAATTGATCTCACTCAGAGATCGACATAGATTTGCGGATAAACATCACTATGGTGCAGGTGGGATTCGCTCTATGCACTTGTCTTGGGGGAGTATGAGGATATTCTAAGTCTGGATTGCGGTTTAGGTTGTGGACTAATGTCTCATGTGATCAGTGGTTCACTGTACTAGTATGGTCCCTAGGCTTCGGGGTTGCAAGTTTCTTAATAAAAATGGGTTTCATGGAATATTAGGGGAGTATGAGGATATTCTAAGTCTGGATTGCGGTTTAGGTTGTGGACTAATGTCTCATGTGATCAGTGGTTCACTGTACTAGTATGGTCCCTAGGCTTCGGGGTTACAAGTTTTTGAGAATTCCCCAAGCCAAACTTCAAGGCGGGTGTCTACAAAAGTAAAACTCAAAAGGCCTCATCATCAGTTATAAGATGCATTTCACTCGAGTTATAAAAAATTTCTAAAATTTGAGATTTAGGATAATGCTTAGCACTGATTATCAGAGGACTTAATACATTTTTGGGTAGTTCAGAGGTAGGATTTAAGCTTGGGACATTGCATTGCTAATATTAGAGCTAAATATTTAGGGAAAAGTTTATATAGAGCCGAGGTTCTAAACAATCAAATTTAAGCCTATATCAAAAATTTCATTAGAAGAAGTTGTTTTGATTCCCAAATATCCTCAAATTGATCATCTCAATATCAAGATGCATGAACATGAGAAAAAAATGAATTTCAAGTTTTGAAAATAGTATATTTTGTAACGCATTTTTGGACCGTCGATTTTCAAGTTTTTATAGATATGTTGATCTACACTATTTTTGAGGCTTTGAACTTGATAAATAAAGATGAAAATATATCTTAAGGCTATCACTAAGATTTTCAACATTGAAGCCACATTTCTCGATATTCTATGAAGGTAGGCTCTAATTTGGCTGTTTAGAGCCTAGTTTCTATACAAACCGCACCCAATTACTAAAGCCACACCTGATTTTTAAAGGAGTTAATATTATTTTCTTCAATTTGACTCAAAGCTAGAAGTGGACGTTGGATCTGCTAACTAGTTGAAGAAAGGGCGAACATGTTATCCATCAATAGAATCGCATTGTATAAGCAACAAAGTGCTAAATTTGATGTAATTCTAATATACTATGAAAATGAAAGGGAGATGGATGGGGGAGAGAGATAATATTAATAATTTATGATCTAAACCATTCATTTTGTAAGTAATTATATGAATTGATTAAAATTAAAAAAATTCAATCAAATGATTAATTTTAATCTCTAAACAACGAGTTTCATAATTGCCAGTTAAATTAACAACTTAAGAGTTTTAGGTTAGGAAACAAATGAAATTGTTGCCAACAGATTCCCCTGTTTTCACAAGGAGTTATCACATTAGGATTCCAAACATCCTAGTCGTTGGTTTTCTACCTTGACCTTTTCTTGCATTCCCAAATGTTTTATGGTCTAAAGAAAAACAACTTTCTCAATTACTAAGGGCATGCTTAATATCTGTCAAATTTTTTTCATGAAAGTATTTTGACACAAAAGAATACCCCAGGTAATTAGGTGCCCGAGTTTTTTTCACATTAATTAGATGTCAATATGTGTGAAAAGAGAGCTGCGACCAATTGACGTTAAAAAACTCATACACCTAATCATACAGGATAATTCCCCCCAAATGAAATACTTTCACGAAATCCCTAAATTACCAGCCATATTCTATGGAAAAATAACGTACCCGCGTTCATTGAGAGAATTTACACTTATTCCCATTTTCGTGATTTCCGTAAAACAAACGATCGCGCAAACCCCGGCCGGTTAAGTCCCAATCGTGGTAAAAATGCACGACGAATTCCTTTCCTCGTTTCTAGAGAGAGATAAGTGTGGGATGCGCAAGTAACTTACTCGGATTCTGTAGAGAGAGAGAGAGAGGGGAGATTCTAGAGAGAGAGGGAGATTAGACACTTGCAGATGGAGTCGATGCCTGTGAATTGGGACGCCCTGGATTCTATCGTTCTTGATTACGCCATCGCTGATAATCTCCTTCACCCCTCCTCGCCCTCTTCTTCGCCTTCTCTCTCTCCTACTCTTTCTCTTTCTTCCTCCTCCTACCATTCCCGCTTGCTTATCCAGCAGATCCGCCATTCTCTGGGGTCTGGCGATGTCGACTCCGCGCTCCATCTCCTCCAACGCCATGCTCCCTCTGTTCTCGATGATCACCGCCTCCTCTTCCGGTTGCATAAACAAGTATCTCTCTTGCTCACTCTTCCTTTGTGTTTCATTGTGGGGTCTTTGGACATCTAGGAATTTTAAATGTGTTGAATTTCGTTGTAATCTCTCTCTCTCTGCACCCATCTGGAGTCTTGATCATCTGTGGATTTTAAATGTGTCAAGTTTCATAGTACTCTCCCTCCCTCTCTCTCTCTCTCTCGCTTGAGCTTTTGATTGTCTGATCTGAGGTCTTTGCATCTGTAGAAATTCATTGAGCTTTTGAGGAAAGGGACTGATGCAGATCGCGATTCGGCCATCAGATGCCTGCGCATGGCTCTTGCTCCCTGCGCACTGGATGCGTACCCGGTATTTATTTCCTTCTCTTCTCTTTGGTACCATGGTTGACACCTGAATTTTTCCTAACTGAAGATTGTTAAATTCTTTACCTTGCTCATGATGTAAGGAAATTAGAGCTATTAGAATCATGTATAGGATTGTCATTCAAATCATGTGAAACATAATAATGCTTTTGAAGTTTGGTCCAATTTTGGGGACATAGCTTTGGGAATTATGGTTTCCTTGTGGGTCTCTTAGAAGTTAATGAGGTGGGAAGACAATGTTTAGTATTCTTATGTAAACAGTAGAATAATTTCAAGTGCTGTTGTTCTATTGACGAAGTTTTATCCTATGGCAACACAATGCTTTATGTTGTCGAAATAGTAGAGTAATTGATCGTTTGGAGATCTTGTAACATAAAATGCAGCATGCCCGAAGACTTTGCATACAAGATTGTGGGGAATGATTTTGCTATTTGGATAGTTTTTCATGTTTGGTAGAGATGTGAATTTGAATATTTAAATTTTTTCTCCCGAACTGAAGTACATGGTTTATGAATAATGACATGTTAGAGTTTCTGTGTTTCACGAATTTATTATTTGATGAATACCTTACCTTTGTCGTGGTCACACTATAGAGTGCTTCTCATCAATTCTAGGGTTCATTCTCATCGACAATCAGATTAATATGTCCTGAGCATCACGATGTCAGTGACAAAGGTGTGTTTTGGCAGTGGGTGGAAGCTTCCATTGGTGAGCTGTCTGCAATTTTTGAGGAAAAAAACCTCAGCATTTTGATGGATGTTAGCATCCATTTGCAATCCTAGCTTCTTGATTATGCTCAATGGATCCCCAAAAGCATTTCTCAAAGTTTGAGATGTATGAGATGGTGGGGGCGACACTCCTTGTTGGCTTTTGCATTTACCATTATAATCGAATGACGTGTGATTCCTTACAAAAGGATTTACTTTTTTGTTGATTGAGGTCTTGTCTCTAGTTTACCAATACAACACTTTGTTGGGGCGTCTTCCCATATAAAGCGCTTTGCTTTTTGAAAGGGAAAATGGCATGCTCCTTCTCCGTAGAAAAATAACTATTAATTGGTTTGGTCCATGGATAGCCAGTGGTCACCCTCTCAGTTTTAAAACTCAGACATAGACCTCACTCTTCATTCTTTTACCCCTCCAAATTACACATATGCAATGTTCAAGCTGGTGGAGGCGTCTGCCTAGGCGGTAAGGGCTTTGGGCCGCTTAGGTGCTAAGGCTGCCTAAGGGAGCACCCAAATGTCTCTTTTTTTTTTTTTTTAATAATTTGAATCCCCCACACCTCCCCCGATTTTACTGTATATAGAATTATTTGCTTTTTTATTTAATAAGTTAGTTTTGTATATAATATATTTTTAAGATGCTGGGAGCCGGAAGCACATATCAAAATGGAAAAATAATAATCCAAATATGCAATAACATATTAAATATATATGACAAAGTATAAAAAAACACAAATAGCAAATAATAACATCATTAAACATTAAGGGGAAAAAAATACAAAACCTAATGAAACTATTGAAACATATCAACCTTCTTGAAGTGCATTCGATGTGCGTCACATTGAAATGTTTGGGATCCCAAATCTTCTTTTTTACAACCCTTATAAGCCTGAAAAAGATTGGGGATGAATATCCTTTAATATCGTGAACATTCCAAGATTTTGAAAAATATTTCGATCTCTCAAAAAATCTTCAAATCTAGCTTTTTTTTCAAGTAGTTTCTCACTCCAAAATTCACTAAAATTGTTTTTGGGGGCAATAATGGCCCCAAACCCTTATCCCCCCCCCCCCTTTTAAGGGGGTAAAATTACATTTTATGCCCTTTCCTGATTTTTTTTTCTGCCAAGTTCGAGGCGGTGCCTAGGCGCCTGCGTTTTACACCACCTAGGCGGGCGCCTAGCTTATTCCACCTAATAGTGTCCACCTAGACCACGCCTAGGCGTTTTTCTAAAAAGTCTGCCTAGGCGGCCGGGCTGCCAACTTTACATTCATTGATTTTTACAATTACAAAGTCTACACATTGCCATTGGAGGGTTCTTAAGGGCTTGTAGTTACAGGGATAAAGCGCAACCATGACGTACTTGAAGGGACATTGGTCATTGATCTCTCTGTACATTCTAATCTCTCACCTCCTCAATACCAACAAGTTTACAAGCACAATCTCTGAGCAAAGGACGTTCTCTCTTAGTTAAGCTAGATTTGAGCAACAACATATTTACAAGGCCCTTCCCGTCTGTTGATTTATTGATGCATGGTCTCATATACCTTGATCTTAGATTCAATAAGTTTAGTGGTGTTTTGCTTGATGATCTTTTAACCACTAATTAAGATGCAATTTTCTTTAACAATAATAGGTTTGAGGGGCTAATATATCTAGTTTAAGGAAGTCCAGGACATCCAAATGCTGCAAAAATATATTTTCCAGAAAATATTTTTTCACAAGAAGTGTATTATGCAGGAAAATATATATTTTTTAGACAATGTTTTTCCAGGGATTCAAATGTCCCCTAAGAGACAGCTGAAGTGGAAATGCAATATGCTTTCCCTTGGAGTTCATGTTATACTCAAGTTCTACGCTACTCACTAAGTAGCATGTTCAAAGCAGTTAATGTTCATACTCCCGTTGTACTATATTCACTCGATCCAATGGATAGAGTGGGGGTGTGGCTTTTCAAAATTTAGATGTTACAAGCAAATTCCTTCTGACTGACTGAATTTTGTGACTGAGCTTTATTATAAGGGTTCTACCCTGATGTCTTACATTTGGCTTGCTAAATGAAAAGTAAGAGGTAAATGTGTTTTTGGACTTTGGAATATTATGGTTTTCTGTTCATAAATGGGTTGGCCAAGTTTGTTAAATGCAAGAATTGGAACTTTTTCGAGCATTCCTTGGAAATGGGTTGGAAAAATATCTCTGGTTTGACTTTCTTGTCTTGAGGGTAAGAAATCAACTTGGACCTGACCATCTGTCAATCTAGTCATTCTGGACTCAATTTGTAACACTGGTTGGCTCTGAGCTTGCAAATTCTCATAGTTTGTGACCAAAGTGGAAGGTATTAATTCAATCAGTCTTTCCCTGGATATTTGTCTGGGGACATAGTGGCAAACTGGCTGAGAATTGTTATCAACTTTGATGAACAAAACAATGTTTTCTGTTTCAGGGGTTAAAGGTGTAACAATGTCGAATGCATGGTTTTGCAAACGATAGACCATTTGGTAATGGAGAGTGGCTACTGAAGAGGTCTCAATTTGTTTAGTTCTAGTTATTTGTAACTGAACTTTGAACGCTGAACTCAGATTGGGGTCTTTTATAGGGACATTGAAATTTGGGAAGAAGTTAACAAAGATGGTGCCTGCATTTAAGGTAGTTTGAATGGTGCCTATACAAGCATGTTGATATTCAAGAAATCTTGTATCTAGCAAAGCAATTCTGGTTACTACTTCCATCCCTTTTCTGCCATGAAAAGTTAAGGCTAATTTTATGGCTCCAAAATGGATATGGGTATATCCTTCTTTTAACCATAAAGGGAAAAGATGTTTTGGTAGGTTTATTGTAACATATTGTTCAGACTGGGTGGCTGGGATATGATGTTGATCGAAAGAAGAGGCTTGGACATACTCTTTTATGGACGCAGGGTTCTTTTTTCCACAAAGTTTCTTTATCCTTTTTAGTCCAGTTTAAGCTTGATTTATCATACACATGATAAGGATTGATCAACTGAGATTGAGTTTCAGAAAATTTTTCAGGAGTATAGGTAAATTCGAAAAGATGTTCTTGTTTTGAAAACATAGGTTCAGAGGTGGATGAACGAGGAGTATCTAAACTTACTTCTGAAGAAATATCTCCTGCCATGAGTTCGAAAATATCTTGGTTGTTGACTGTAATTTTGGTTTTGGTTTGAAAAGGCTGACTTTCTTTTACTGCATGTTAAAAGTATGATCTCCGTTCTTAGGCCATTCCTCAGCCCCTCAGAGTTCTTGTTATTAACATGTAACTCAAGAAAGTTTGTAGCAGTGTAATAAATTCACTGAAATTAACCTTTAAGTTATATTCTGTGTTCTGATACGAGAGATCGTAGACCAGCTACACAGACGTAGAGCATACTAATCTGAATATTTCTTACAGATTAACCAGTCAACATAACAAGATAGAGAATTAAATCTAAACATGGCTTTGATACCAATTGAATGACATTCCTAACAGAAGTAACTTGAACAGAAGATAAGATAGATATAAACATCAAACAGGATACATGCTTAAAGCAAGAACATAAGAAGAAATTAAGAAGAAAGCAAGCACGAAGAAAGCAAGCACACAAGAACTACAAGGCTGAGAGGCTCTAGAAGCACCCTGCCGTTTACAATGCCTTATGAAGCCTTTTATAGACTTCGGACGTGAAAGCCGGACTTCAAAATAAAATTAAAAGCAAACAACATGGCCAACAGCTGGCATCTTGAAATAGTAAAAATTGAATACTAAAAAGCAAAAGTTAAACAGCTGGGTATGACAGAATAGTGCTCCATAGTGTCTGCCGACAAAATAGTGCTCCACAGTGTCTGCCGACAAAATAGTGTTCCACAGTGACTCAGTCTGTATCTGGATACATGTCGTATGGATAGCCGTCTGAGTCGTAGCTTCCTGCAGATAGGCTATGAGAAGGTCCACTGTATGAGTCATCACTTGAGCTATCAGTTGGTGCATCTTCTGAGGGTGGATGGTCAACAAGCCAATGGTAAAGTTGGTGGAGTAAAGCTGCTCCTCGAGGGGTTGTGTCATTCCATACTTCTTGTCCTGTATAAACATTCAAAGGAATAGTGTCTGGAGAGACTCTGTTAATGTAACACATTGTAGCTTTGAGTTCGGACCAAATTTTTGTATTAGTAGGCCAGAAATTAAGGAGATCAGAATCATACCATCCAATAGTCTCTATAAGGGGATGTTGGGTGATATAGGTATAATCTTGATAAAAAAGCGGTTTGAG